ATGGTAGAGCTAGGTTTCATGACCCATGATAGTTAGGCTTCATGACTAATGCTAGAGTTAGGCTTCATGATCCATGATAGAGCTAGGCTTTATTATTCATGGTAGAGTTAGGCTTCATGACACATGGAGGAGTTAAGCTTCATGATCCATGGTAGACCTAGGTTTCTTGACTCATGGTAGAATTAGGCTTTATGATCCATTGTAGAGCTTGGCTTCATGATTAATGCTAGAGATAGACTTTATGATTCATGGTAGAGTTAGGCTTCATGACCCCTGGAAGAGTTAGGCTTCATGATCCATGGTAGAGTTAGGCTTCATGACCCATGGTAGAGCTAGACTTCATTATCCATGTTTGAGAAAGGCATCATTACCCATGTTAGAGCTAGGCTTCAGAATCCATGGTAGAGTTAGGCTTAATGACCCATGGTAGAAATAGTCTTCATGACCCAGGGTAGAGTTAGTTTCATTATCCATGGTAGTTAGGCTTCATAACTCATGGAAGATCTATCCATGGCTGAGCTAGGCTTCATGACCCATGGTAGACCTAGGCTTCATGACTTGTAGTAGAGTTAGGCTTCATAACCCATGGTAGACCTAGGCTTCATGACTCAAGGTTGAGCTAGGCTTCATGACTCATGGTTGACCTAGGCTTCATGACTCATGGTTGAGCTAGGCTCCATGACCCATGGTTGAGCTAGGCTTCATGACTTATGGTTGAGCTAGGCTTCATGACTCATGGTTGAGCTAGGCTCCATGACCCATGGTTGAGCTAGGCTTCATGACTCATGGTTGAGCTAGGCTTCATGACTCATGGTTGATCTAGGCTTCATGACCCTTGGTAGAGCTAGGCTTCATGACTTATGGTTGAGCTAGGCTTCATGACTCATGGTTGAGCTAGGCTTCATGACCCATGGTAGAGCTAGGCTTCATGACTTATAGTAGAGTTAGGCTTCATGACCTATGGTTGACCTAGGCTTCATGACTCATGGTTGAGCTAGGCTTCATGACTCATGGTTGATTTAGGCTTCATGACCCATGGTAGAGCTAGGCTTCATGACTTATAGTAGAGTTAGGCTTCATGACCCATGGTTGACCTAGGCTTCATGACTCATGGTTGAGCTAGGCTTCATGACCCATGGTTGACCTAGGCTTCATGACTCATGGTTGAGCTAGGCTCCATGACCCATGGTTGAGCTAGGCTCCATGGCCCATGGTTGAGCTAGGCTTCATGACCCATGGTTGAGCTAGGCTTCATGACCCATGGTTGAGCTAGGCTTCACGTGGCACTCTACCTTCCCAACATACTGGTAACATGTACAATCAAGTTTGGTACTCTGGTAGCATGTACAATCAAGTTTGGTACTCTGGTAGCATGTACAATCAGGTTTGGTACTCTGGTAGCATGTACAATCAAATTTGGTACTCTGGTAGCATGTACAGTCAAGTTTGGTACTCTGGTAGCATGTACAATCAAGTTTGGTACTCTGGTAGCATGTACAATCAAGTTCGGTAATCTGCTAGCATGTATAATCAAGTTTGGTACTCTGGTAGCATGTACAATCAAGTTTGGTAGTCTGGTAGCATGTACAATCAAGTTTGGTACTCTGGTAGCATATACAATCAAGTTTGGTACTCTGGTAGCATGTACAATCAAGTTTGGTACTCTGGTAGCATGTACAATCAAGTTTGGTACTCTGGTAGTATGTACAATCAAGTTTGGTACTCTGGTAGCATGTACAATCAAGTTTGGTACTCTGTTAGCATGTACAATCAAGTTTGGTACTCTGGTAGCATGTACAATCAAGTTTGGTACTCTGGTAGCATGTACAATCGTTTGGTACTCTGGTAGCATGTACAATCAAGTTTGGTACTCTGGTAGTATGCACACACAAGGTTGGTACTCTGGTAGTATGCACACACAAGGTTGGTACTCTGGTAGTATGCACACACAAGGTTGGTACTCTGGTCGTATGCATACACAAGGTTGGTACTCTGGTAGTATGCACACACAAGGTTGGTACTCTGGTAGTATGCACACACAAGGTTGGTACTCTGGTAGTATGTATACACAAGGTTGGTACTCTGGTAGTATGCACACACAAGGTTGGTACTCTGGTAGTATGCACACACAAGGTTGGTACTCTGGTAGTATGCACACACAAGGTTGGTACTCTGGTAGTATGCACACACAAGGTTGGTACTCTGGTAGTATGCACACACAAGGTTGGTACTCTGGTAGTATGCACACACAAGGTTGGTACTCTGGTAGTATGCACACACAAGGTTGGTACTCTGGTAGTATGCACACACAAGGTTGGTACTCTGGTAGTATGCATACACAAGGTTGGTACTCTGGTAGTATGCACACTCAAGGTTGGTACTCTGGTAGTATGCACACACAAGGTTGGTACTCTGGTAGTATGCACACACAAGGTTGGTACTCTGGTAGTATGTATACACAAGGTTGGTACTCTGGTAGTATGCACACACAAGGTTGGTACTCTGGTAGTATGCACACACAAGGTTGGTACTCTGGTAGTATGCACACACAAGGTTGGTACTCTGGTAGTATGCACACACAAGGTTGGTACTCTGGTAGTATGCACACACAAGGTTGGTACTCTGGTAGTATGCACACACAAGGTTGGTACTCTGGTAGTATGCACACACAATGTTGGTACTCTGGTAGTATGCACACACAAGGTTGGTACTCTGGTAGTATGCACACACAATGTTGGTACTCTGGTAGTATGCACACACAAGGTTGGTACTCTGGTAGTATGCACACACAAGGTTGGTACTCTGGTAGTATGCACACACAAGGTTGGTACTCTGGTAGTATGCACACACAAGGTTGGTACTCTGGTAGTATGCACACACAAGGTTGGTACTCTGGTAGTATGCACACACAAGGTTGGTACTCTGGTAGTATGCACACACAAGGTTGGTACTCTGGTAGTATGCACACACAAGGTTGGTACTCTGGTAGTATGCACACACAATGTTGGTACTCTGGTAGTATGCACACACAATGTTGGTACTCTGGTAGTATGCACACACAAGGTTGGTACTCTGGTAGTATGCACACACAAGGTTGGTACTCTGGTAGTATGCACACACAAGGTTGGTACTCTGGTAGTATGCATACACAAGGTTGGTACTCTGGTAGTATGCACACTCAAGGTTGGTACTCTGGTAGTATGCACACACAAGGTTGGTACTCTGGTAGTATGCACACACAAGGTTGGTACTCTGGTAGTATGTATACACAAGGTTGGTACTCTGGTAGTATGCACACACAAGGTTGGTACTCTGGTAGTATGCACACACAAGGTTGGTACTCTGGTAGTATGCACACACAAGGTTGGTACTCTGGTAGTATGCACACACAAGGTTGGTACTCTGGTAGTATGCACACACAAGGTTGGTACTCTGGTAGTATGCACACACAAGGTTGGTACTCTGGTAGTATGCACACACAAGGTTGGTACTCTGGTAGTATGCACACACAAGGTTGGTACTCTGGTAGTATGCATACACAAGGTTGGTACTCTGGTAGTATGCACACACAAGGTTGGTACTCTGGTAGTATGCACACACAAGGTTGGTACTCTGGTAGTATGCACACACAAGGTTGGTACTCTGGTAGTATGCACACACAAGGTTGGTACTCTGGTAGTATGCACACACAAGGTTGGTACGGACTTCTGGCAGTACTCGACACAACACAAAGTCGTAAAATGTCCCGTATAATCTTCACCAGGTCACTGTGTTCAGTAGAAGAGCAGATATAATATTCCAAGGTAAGTATATGGTATATTAAAAGTATTTGCTGTAGCTCACTTATTTTTTAAATATCAGAAAATATGAATCGCGCTGTTGGGTGTCTTATAGATAATTGGTTCTGTCGGTTAATGGGGTTGAAAGCATATCGACTAACGAGTCACTGAGGTTGCACGGTAACTATTTCATCCCCAGTCAAGAATACTTTAAAGCCTTAAAAGAAGGCTTAAAATTAACTATTAGACTATATATGCGGTCTTCGTGGTATATGTTTGAGACTTCTTAATTCGCCGGTACTCTCCCGGTCCGGGTCTTTTCCATATGGTGGCCCGGCCTTGACTCCCTGTCTTGGCAGTGTCTGAAAACTATGTCTGTAATGGGAGAAGGTACAAGTACCTCCTCATCTTCTGGGACCAACTGTCCCCAGGCCTAGTCCCATTCCTCGCCCTCACGTGGCTAGTTATGAGAAACTAGGCCTCGGTCTACCATTTTCACCGCCCCAGGGGGGCTCGTGGGAATGGCAGTCTTGTGAGCTGGTGGTGGTAGCAAGCTCTGGCCATTCGCTTTAAGGTTAGGTTAGGTAAGGTTCGTCAGGAAACAGGACAAGTGTTCCCTGACGCGGGTCTTAGATGATGACCCGCCGCTGGAGCTCTCGCTCATCTTACCTTAAGATATGAGATCTGGTAACTTTGGGATCATAATATTTAATACTGTTATTCAAATTAAACTATATAAATGCAAAATTCTCTCAGATAAATCAGAAAATTCTTCTTCACAAATTATGTAACTTGAAGTAAGAATAATATAAGAATTTGTCATATTATATGACTCATATGGCTGATGTATTAACCTAACTTTATATAACGTTCTCCGAGATTCTTATGACTGATTTCAGTCTTCATTGTGTTGATAAATTAGACACATGTGCAACTCTTGGGTATCTTTATTAAGGAAACGTTTCGCCACACAGTGGCTTCATCAGTCCATACACAGGAGAAACTTGAAGAACAGGAGGAGAGTGAGGTAATCAGTCCCTCAACCTTCAGTCGATGTGGTCAGTCCATCAATCATTCTATTCAAGATTGATGGACTGACCACATTGACTCAGGGTTGAGGGACTGATTATCTCACTCTCCTCCTGTTCTTCAAGTTTCTCCTGTGTATGGACTGATGAAGCCACTGTGTGGCGAAACGTTTCCTTAATAAAGATACCCAAGAGTTGCACATGTGTCTAATTTATCAACATGTCGGTTCTGTCAATCATCCATCTACAATTGTTCGTGTTAACATGTTTTAACGTTAGTGAGACTTTAAGAGTGTGGATGGTGAAGCAGAGTTCTGATAAGCCACACCTTAACTCCACTCATTGTTACTTTACATGTTACTCAATATCAATAATAAATTCCCTTTAGAATGATTATATTTTACCAATTGTCCTCACCAGGTACAGCATACTCAGACATAATTTACCCGGTATAACGGATGAAGAATTTCTAGAGGTATATCTCCTTAGGGTTTAGACCTTCGTGGGTCTAAATACCTCTTGGTCTTTCTTCTTCTAGAGGTCATTAACACTGTGGATAAACTGGACACTAACAGTCATGAATAACCCCTAGAACAGTCATGAGTAACCCCTAGTAAACTCTAGTGTCTATACACTAGGACATACACACCTCGAGGTGTATGGACAACCCACCTCACATACAGAATATTTCCGAGGATTTTCTTTTACTCAGTGTGTATGTACGTGTAGGTGTGTGTGTGTGTGTGTGTGTGTGTGTGTGTGTGTGTGTGTTAGTGTTTCTCTATCTGTCATGCAGGATTCTTTATAACATAGTCATCCTCCTGTCGTCTAGCGAGGAGCTCCCTGCAGCGCACCACCAGCGGCACCAGCAGCAACACCATCAGTGATGCCGTTACCATACACGAGCCCATGAACGTGTACAACACAACGTAATCATTGGTGAGGTCGAAGAGAAGACCTGGCGAGAGAGAACGACAGTGAAGCGTCTTAGTAAATGTTAATGTGACCCAAGACCCTTGTGTTTTATCTGGGTTCAATGTGAAGGATCAGTTAAATGTACAACAGGAAAAAATACGTTGAATTCATCACTGTCTCCAAACATGATGACAGTGATCAAGGATGGTTAGAAACATGGTGATAATGATGGAGAATGGTCAGAAACATGGTGATAATGATGGAGAATGGTCAGAAACATGGTGATAATGATGGAGAATGGTCAGAAACATGGTGATAATGATGGAGAATGGTCAGAAACATGGTGATAATGATGGAGAATGGTCAGAAACATGGTGATAATGATGGAGAATGGTCAGAAACATGGTGATAATGATGGAGAATGGTCAGAAACATGGTGATAATGATGGAGAATGGTCAGAAACATGGTGATAATGATGGAGAATGGTCAGAAACATGGTGATAATGATGGAGAATGGTCAGGAACATGGTGATAATGATGGAGAATGGTCAGAAACATGGTGATAATGAGGAGAATGGTAAGAAACATGGTGATAATGATGGAGAATGGTCAGAAACATGGTGATAATGATGGAGAATGGTCAGAAACATGGTGATAATGATGGAGAATGGTCAGAAACATAGTGATAAATTTGGAGAATGGTCAGAAACTTGGGGATAATGATGGAGAATGGTCAGAAACATAGTCCAGCTTACACTTTGTGAGTTAGTTGGGAAATGCTGCATAAACGAAATTACGACTTTATTTATGACATGAGGTGTTGATGGAGTTTCAGCAACGTAACATTTATGAAGGAATTCAGGGAAACCGGTTAGCCAAACTTGAGTCCTGCAAGTGGGAAGTAAAGTGCCTGCACTTTGAAGGAGGGGTGGGAATGTTGTAGTCCTGGCAGTGGGAAGTAAAGTGACTGCACTTTGAAGGAGGGGTGGGAATGTTGTAGCCCCAGGCAGTTGGGAAGTAAAGTGACTGCACTTTGAAGGAGGGTGGAATGTTGTAGTCCTGGAAGGGGAAGGGTAAAGTGCCTGCACTTTGAAGGAGGGGTGGGAATGTTGTAGTCCTGGAAGTGGGAAGTAAAGTGCCTGCACTTTGAAGGAGGGGTGGGAATGTTGTAGTCCTGGAAGTGGGAAGTAAAGTGACTGCACTTTGAAGGAGGGGTGGGAATGTTGTAGTCCTGGAAGTGGGAAGTAAAGTGACTGCACTTTGAAGGAGGGTGGGGAATTTTTGTAGTCCTGGAAGTGGGAAGTAAAGTGACTGCACTTTGAAGGAGGGGTGGGAATGTTGTAGTCCTGGCAGTGGGAAGTAAAGTGCCTGCACTTTGAAGGAGGGGTGGGAATGTTGTAGTCCTGGAAGTGTGAAGTACAGTGCCTGCACGTTGAAGGAGGGGTGGGAATGTTGCAGTCCTGGATGTGGGAAGCTAAAGCACAGTGTTTGCACTGTGCTAGCAATGGTGGGGATGTTGCAATTCAAAGTCATCCTATCTGTAATATAACCACGCTTCTGGCAGGAGAGCGATTAAATGAATGATGGTAAATGTGTTTCTCCATTTTGGGTGACTCTACCTCGGCATCAGACGGCTGGTGTAACAACAAACAATACCCACCATTAAACTGTGGTGAGATGAAGTTCATGACGCCGTTGAAGAGCCTGACGAGGCCGTAGGAGGAGGCCAGCTGGGCAGCACCATGATGCTTGGCTAGGATGGCTGGGATCATCACGAACCATGAACCAACACCGAACCCATACAGTGCCAGGATGCCAGTCAAACTGGCGAAGCTCGTCATGTGTGGCATTAACAACACTGCCACTGCTGACATCAGTCCACTGTCATAACAAAACAATCATTATTTATACTCTGTATGTATATATTAACTCTCAGTGGGTATCCTCAAAGCAGTGGGTATACTCCAAGCAGTGGGTATCCTCAAAGCAGTGGGTATACTCCAAGCAGTGGGTATACTCCAAGCAGTGAGTATATTCCAAGCAGTGGGTATACACCAAGCAATGTGTATACTCCAAGCAGTGGATATACTCCAAGCAGTGGGTATCCTCAAAGCAGTGGGTATACTCCAAGCAGTGGGTATACTCCAAGCAGTGAGTATATTCCCCAAGCGTGGGTTACACCAAGAAATGTGTATACTCCAAGCAGTGGGTATACTCCAAGCAGTGGGTATCCTCAAAGCAGTGGGTATACTCCAAGCAGTGGGTATACTCCAAGCAGTGAGTATATTCCAAGCAGTGGGTATACACCAAGCAATGTGTATACTCCAAGCAGTGGATATACTCCAAACAATGGGTATATGGGTATACACCAAGCAGTGGATATATTCCAAGCTGTGGGTATACTCCAAGCAGTGGGTATACTCCAAGCAGTGGGTATACTCCAAGCAGTGGTTATACTCCAAGCAGTGGGTATACTCCAAGCAGTGAGTATACGCCAAGCAGCGAGTATCCTCTAAGCAGTGGATATACTCCAAGCAGTGGGTATACCCCAAGCAGTGGATATATTTCAAGCAGTGGGTATACTCCAAGCAGTGGGTATGCTCCAAGCAATGGGTATACTCCAAGCAGTGGATATGCTCCAAGCAATGGGTATACTCCAAGCAATGGATATACTCCAAGCAGTGGATATACTCCAAGCAGTGGGTATACTCCAAGCAATGGGTATACTCCAAGCAGTGGACATACTCCAAGCAGTGGGTATACTCCAAGCAGTGGGTATACTCCAAGCAATGGGTATACTCCAAGCAGTGGATATACTCCATGCAGTGGGTATACTCCAGGCAGTGGGTATACTCCAAGCAGTGGATATACTCATGCAGTGGGTATACTCCAAGCAGTGGGTATACTCCAAGCAGTGTATATACTCCATGCAGTGGGTATACTCCAAGCAGTGGGTATACTCCAAGCAGTGGATATAGTCCATGCAGTGGGTATACTCCAAGCAGTGGGTATACTCCAAGCAGTGGATATACTCCATGCAGTGGGTATACTCCAAGCAGTGGGTATACTCCAAGCAGTGGATATACTCCAAGCAGTGGGTATACTCCAAGCAGTGGATATACTCCAAGCAGTGGGTATACTCCAAGCAGTGGATATACTCCAAGCAGTGGATATACTCCAAGCAGTGGGTATACTCCAAGTAGGGGATATACTCTAAGCAGAGTGGATATACTCCCAAGTAGTGGGATAGTTCTCCAAGAGTGGGTTACTCCAGCAGTGGGTATACTCACCAAGCAGTGGACCTGGGTCGTGGTAATGTGACACAATGCCTAGTTAATTCCACAAGGGAATTTAATTATTATCGGAATTAGTAAAGTTCGTAGTGTGGGAAACGTCGTCTGAACATTGTATTATATTAATACATCACTTGAGTGTATTCTCACTACTAAATACAACTGCTATTATACAGCATGTACTTGGTGGAGGTTTGTGGTACTGTCCATGGATGAACGTGGGAAGATGTACTTGGTGATTACTGTACGCAACATATCATTGAATAAAGGTCCACAGATAGTGTAGGGAGTTAGTATTGAGGATATTTCCCTCGGTTTTTTTTTTTGCTTTTATTGACATAATTTGTAGTTATCTAGCATTACATTAGTTAGAGACTACTGAAGAATTAAGAGTGAATTACACATCGACAGATTCATTAAACATTAACTAACATTAACACCCAACAGGAAGATTATAACATTACGCAAACATAAACACAACCAGACAGATCAGTTAAACATTTAACCTAAATAACCAACAGAAAAGGATCATAAACATTAACCCAAAGCATAACCACAACAAGGAAGATCATAAATTAACCTAAACATAACACAAACAAGGGACTGATCATAACATTAACTAACATCAACACAAAAGACAGTCATAAACATTAACCAAACATAACACAACAGACAGCTCATAGAACTTTAACTAACCAACATCCACCACCATGCAAACACCTCTTCATATTTACAATAAACAAAAATGCACATGGAGGCAGAAACTCCTAGATTTCGACCTCTTCTGGGGACCCTCTTCAGCATGATTTGTTTTTTGTTTGTTTGGTTTTTTTTTTTTTCTTTGTTTTTTTGTCTATTTTTTTTTTTTGTTTTTTATTTTTTTTATTTATTTATTTTTATAATGCAAGTTGAACGTGTTATTAAATGTGTATATGTAGGGAGGAGAGAATGAGAGCAGAGGAGAAGAGATAAGGAAGAGGTGAGGAGGAGAAAGAGATATAGAGGATGTGAGAGGGAGGAGAGAGATGCATCATCTCGGTGGTATATGTAGGGAGAGGTGCCATATAGCAGTTGTAATGTAGAGAGATCTGTCATTCAGTTCCACTTGTCTATGTGAGGGTAGAGGATGATATCTCAGGTGTAATATGTAGGGGGAGTGGCATTTCTCAGTGTATATGTAGGGAGAGGTGCAATATCTCAGTGTATTTGTAGGGCGAGGTGCATTTCTCAGTGATATATGTAGGGGGAGAGGTTGGCATATATCAGTTGTATATGTAGGGAGAGATGACTATCTCTCGCTTTGTATATTTAGGGGAGGTGCATATCTTCAGTGTATATGTAGGGACTGAGATGCATATCTCAGTTTGAATATGTAGGGAGAGGTATGCATATTCTCAGTGTATATGTAGGGAAGGAGTGCAATATCCAATGTGTACATGTCGTAGAGAGATGCATATCTCAGGTTGTATTATGTAGGGAGAGATGCATATCTCAGTTGTATATGTACGGGGAGCGATGGCATATCTAAGTTGTCTCATGTATTTTTAGGGGGGGGGGGTAGGGAGATGCTAGATCTCAGATTATGTTTTATGTAGGAGAGGTGGCATATCTCAGTTGTATATGTTAGGTGAGAGATGATATACTCAGTTATTGTAATATGTAGGGAGAGGTGCATATCTCAGTAGGGCTTGTATATGTAGGTGGAGAGATGCATATCTCAGTGTATATGTAGGGGAGAGGTGCACTATCTCTTTGTATATGAAGGGAGAGGTGCATATGCTCAGTTTGTATTGTAGGGAGCAGGTGCATAATCTCAGTGTTTATGTAGGGAGAGGTGCTATCTCAGGTATATGTAGGGAGAAAAGATATCTCAGTGGTGTGTATATGTAGGGAGAGGTGGCATCTAACAGTGTTATATGTAGGGAGAGATGTATATTCAGTGTATATTGTCGGAGAGGTGCATATCTTCCGTGTTTGTAGTGAGAGGTGTTATTTCTCAGTGATATATGTAGGGGAGGAATGCACATCTCAGTGTATATGTAGGGAGCGATGCATTTCTCAGTGGTATATGTAGTGAGTGGTGCAATACTCTCAAGTTGTCTGTGCTTATGTTAGGGAGATGCTGCATTCTCAGTGTTTATGTAGGGAGAGATGCCATATCTCAGTTGAATAAGTAGGGAAGTGCAAGATCTCAGTGTATTATAGTAGGGGGAGAGGTGCATATCTCTGTGTATATGTCGGGAGAGATGCTGATTCAGTTTGTAGATGTAGGGAGAGGTGCATATCCTCCGTGTTATGTAGGGAGAGATGCATATCTCAGTGAATATGTAGGGAGAGGTGCATATCTCAGTGTATATGTAGGGAGGATGCATATTCAGTTGTATATGTAGGGAGAGTGAATTATTCCAGTTTTGTATTGTAGGGAGAGCTGATTTCGTGTATTATGTAGGGAGAGATGATTATCTCCGGTATATTGTAGGGCGAGATGCATATCCAGTTGTATATGTCGGGAGAGAGAGATTGCTTATCTCAGGGATATGTAGGGAGAGTATTGATATCTCAGTGTATATTGTAGGGAGAGGTGCTTTATTCAGTTTATATGTAGGGAGAGAGGATATCCTCAGTGTGTATATGTAGGGGAGAGGTGCATATTCAGTGTCTATGTAGGGAGCGAAGCATATCTCAGTTGTATCGGTAGGGAGAGGTGCATATCTCAGTGTATATGTTAGGGAGTGGATGCAGTATCTTTCTCAGTGTATCTGTAGGGAGAGATGCATTTATCTCAGTGTTTTTGTTATGTAGGGAGAGAAGCATTCTCAGGTTATCTATGTAGGGAGAGATTGCATATCTCCGTGTGGTCATATGTAGGGAGGGATGCATAATCTAGTTTTGTTGTATAATGTAGGGCGAGGTGATATATTCAGTAGTATATGTATGGAGGAGCGTGTTGCATATCTCTGTGTATATGTAGGAGAGGTGCACACTCAGTGTTTATATGTAGGGGCGATGCGTATCTCAGTTGTCTTATGTTAGGTAGAGGTGAATATCTACAGTGCATATGTAGGGGAGGGAGATGCAAATCTACAGTGTACTATGGAGGGAGAGGTGCATATCTCAGTGAATATGTAGGGAGAGGATGCATATCTCTGCGTATATGTAGGGAGAGGGTGCATATCTCAGTGTTATATGTAGGGAGAGATGCATATCACAGGTATATGTAGGGAGAGTGCATTATTATCAGGTGAGTCTATGTAGGGAGAGGGTGGATTATCTCAGTTTATGTAGGGAGTTGGTGCATATCTCGTGTATATGTAGGGAGAGATGCATATAACTTCAGTTTGGATATGTAGGAGACATCAAATCTCAGATGTTTTTTTGGTAAATGTAGGGAGAGATGCATATTCAGAGTATATGTAGGCAGAGAATGCATTTCTCAGTGTAGTATGTACGGAGAGTGCTTTTTTATCTCAGTGTATATGTAGGGAGAGATGATATCTCAGTGTGAATATGATAGGAAGAGGTGATATCTCAGTGTATAGGTAGGGAGAGATGCATATATCAGTTGTATATGTAGGGGGAGAGGATGCA